AAAATTTCTCTAGAGTGTTAAATAAAACTTCTCACATTGTGCATTGTATTACTTCATCTTGGCATCCCATGGTCATTTGGGTAAAAAAGAGCTATCGGAGTACAAAGATCTTGGTGAGGAGCTTCATGGTGGTCTTGCAAGTCAAAGGAAGCTAATTAGGTTAGACCAAGCTTCTGGAGCATGGAGAGGTAAAGTTAGGTTAATTAGGGAAAGGCTGTAATTCCTTTCGTCTATATCCTATAAAACTCAAATTTATTTGGTGAATTATTTGTGGTGTTGGGCTCATGGTTTTTATCTCGTGGAAGAGTTTTTTTCATCAAATCTCCATATTAAATCACTTTGTTCTATTTATAGCATTATATTTATGTGATTTGTTATCACCATTGATCTAAAATTAAAATTGTTAATTGAAAAGTAAATTTTAAAAGTGAGATTATTGTTAGTGTTTGGCCTATTCACGTCTTTCTAATTTCCAAATTTTGTTGATTATAATATTTCAATTGGTATCATATCTAGACTGTCATTGGTTCAAGTTGTGAGAGTGCTATCATGAGGACGGATTTGTGTGGATATATGCATTTTTACCCTCACATCATCATAGGAATTCAGATTGGAAAGTGTTTGGATTGGAAGCGATAACACATTAATTAATAGATGTGCTATTAATACAGTAGATTTTCACATAATGAAACAAAACAGATGTGTGAGATAAAAAGTCGGTCCATCATATATGAGAACCACTCTTTGTATCATATATTTCTATTCACTTAGATTTATTCGTGCATTAATAAGTTGATTGTGAATCCTCGTGTGAGGTCCTGTATTGTTAGGCCGTCTAGACTCCCATTCGAATTTTTAATAGGTAGAAGCTCTTGTGATCACGACTAAAAAAGGTTAGCTTCCAATCTTTTGGCGGAAAGACAGTGATGTGCTCAATAACCATAGATGTACAGACACAAGCCATCAATGCAGCAACACCATTTTTACTTGGTCATTTCTGGGGGTATATGACAGGCATACTTAACTAGAAATTGTGGTGGCCATATGCTCTATCTCTTTCAATGCCAGTTTACAACCAACCCTGTTGTTTATTTTCCCATTGATATTTGTTTTTATTTCTAGAAGCTCTGCTATTTTTCAATAATAAAAAAAAAATGTTATGATGATCGTATTTAGGGGTTGTTTGGGGTGTCCTAAATAAGTGTACTTTTTGTCTTTTTAGACTAAAAAATTGAAGAAGAAAATATGGATGTTTTGGTTAACTTTTTGACTTTTTATGGAAAAATGTGTAATAAAAATTGTAAAAATTGATTTGTAGGGGAAAATTAGGATTGGGAGTTGTGCAGCCGTAATTATTGACTTTTGGTGAATAGTGTTAACTTTTTGACTTTTTGACTTTTTTACAATATGTCAAACTTGACCTTAATATAATTTAAGTATTTATAATTACAATGATTTAATTGGTTCTATCATTTATGTCTGTTTCTAATGTAGTGGTGACAACTTACATGATAAATCAAATATACTATAAAATGTGATCATTGTAATATTATATATTGTTCTTTCTAAGCATGAAAAACTGCACACCACTCGTCAGTGACAAATAATCACTGGTTATCAGGATTTTTGTGTGAGAAAGTTGTTTTCGGGAGAAGTGTGGTAATAATGTATAGGAAAAGTTTTTTCTTATGCTCCGTTTGTTTTTTTACATTTTTTATCATTTAGTGGAACAGAAAATAAAAATTAATGGATTTTTTTTTATGGTCAATGAAAAATAGGTCTATTTAAGCAAAAAATATTTTTTATTTTTGAAAGGCAGAAAATATTTTTCTAACCAAAATTTTATCAGTCGCACTACATTACCACCACTACCATCATTTCCGCCACCACCATGGCCACAACCATTTTCATTATCGCTACCACTACCTCCACCGCCCCACAACTACAACTACAACTATCTCTACTTCATTCCTACCACCACCACCACCACCAACGCCGTTGCCTCCAGCACTATCCCCAACACCTCTACGCAACCGCAACCACTACAACCACCACTAATGTAACCATTAGTAAATTAATTTTAAAAACGCAACCAAACCTAAGAATATGTGAAAAATATTTTTTGTAAAGGTTTTCTGAAAAAAAATTTCAAAAAAATACTTTCCAGTGAAATAAATGAAACGAGTGTGTTCATTTGTGATGATAACAAAGTGTATTGTTGAGACTCTTCAAAAATCTTGTATTTTTCGTGGAACATATTTTGAGAGAAAACTTGTCTTAATGGGAAAGTTAAAAATATTTGGTTTGTATTTTCAGAAATTATTTTTGGATGGGTTTTTGTTTTGTTGTATTTTAGTCTTCTTTTTTTGTTTATTGAGGTATCTAAAAAAAAAAAAATTAACTAAAATATAAAAAAATTCACTAAAAATAAATGAAAACCTAAACAAAAATGCATAGAGATTTTTGTTCCAATTTTCATTTGGTTTTAGTAATTTTTGTTAACATTTTAGCATCTTAATTAGATATATCTAAAAAGTATAAAAGTGACTAAAATATAGAAACGATTCACTAAAAATAAACGAAAACTCATCTGAATACAATTTTTAAAAAAATCACGTTAAACAGGATTTGACAACTTTTTTGATAACCGAACATAGAAAAAATTATGAAAAATTTTGGTTGTGTTTGGTTAGGTATTCTAAACACATTTTCACCCACTGATTTTAGTGTAGTGTTTGTTTTGAGTTTTCAAATTATAACACCACACCCACTTTTGAAGACTTCTTTCCAAGCGGGAAAATTTGGCTAACCCATACGTCTCCCGAACGTCCAACCGGTTGACCGGAACGGTATTCAGTTTTTTTTTACCTGTTGTTTTTATATTGTAAATAAAAAATATTTTCGAAATTCTTTTAATTTTTATATGAGCTTTGAATAGAATTTTAAGTTGTGTGTTTAGTTATAAGTTGTAAATTTTTGAATGAAATAATTTTTCTAATTTCAAAAACTCAAAACTCTCTCCAAAGCTCTTTTCAAAACTCATAACCAAACAAATTTTTCACACTCAAATTATAATTTCAAAACTTACAAACTCAAAGTACAACTCTATTTCTAAATGATATTTAAAAAATTCTACCAAACGCTACCTTTATTTTTCTATGCTTTACTTTCTTTTCTTTTATTTTTCTATGCTTTACTTTCTTTTCTTGACAATTGCACAGGATCCATATTTCATGTAGTACCCGAGAACCACGGCATAATGGTACGAGGAGTATTAAACAATATAGGCTGGGCTTCCCTCCTGTCCGTGATCGGGTTGAAGGATATTGTTGGATTCGTGGAGACTCATTACGAGTCTCGTTTTGATAATTCAAATTATTCAATATGTAGAACTCGTTAAGTACTATATGCTTATAAAAAATCATGTTGATCGAATATCGATAGATATCTCATAAGATCAAATTTCTATCAATCGTTTATTTTTTCACTGTTTATTTTTTTTTGTACAAAACTGATTTAATCACGTAGTTATTGATATCCGATAAACGTGATTTTTTTATAAACATATAGTACTCGACGATTTTTATACATTGCACAGTTCAGGTTATCCAAACGAAACCCGTGATGGGTCTCACGAACCCAACACTATCCTCCAGTCCGATCAAATATTGGAGTAAAGCTAGCCCCAAACAATACATATTGAAAATGGGATGTTGCATTTGTAGTTACCAAATCAACCGTATTGATTGTAAAATCAGCTCGTAAATCAGTTATGAGTATATACGTGTTGAAAATCAGCCAATACCAAAATTATTTTCATGGTATGCCAATATATTAAGGTATATCAATGTTGAGAACACCATATAAATTCTCTTTTTAAATAGCTACAAATCTTCTCCAAATCATATCATTTTATTACATTCTACTCCAAAAGCAAATTAGAAGTTGGAATTCAAATTATATGTATAGTATTGGCCTTTTTATTGGCTTTTTTGTTAGTATATTGTTTTCAATTTTAATGAATTTTTTTATAAAATTTTAAATTTTTGTACACTTCTAAGTTTTATTTAACTAGATGGTGCCAAAAAAAAACTCCACTAAAGACCCCCAAAAAAAATGTCAAAAAAATGTTGGCTTCTTTTGGCATTTTTTCATTTCTAGTAAACCTTTTTTTTTTCCAAAAAAAAAAAACTTTTTTTTACTTTTTAGGCTTTTTTACAATAGATGGACCTGAAAGCAAAAGATTTTGACACAATTTTTTTAAAAACATGACTAAAGGCAAAGAGATCGGAAAAAAAAATGACTTTTTTTTATTGATCCCAAACTCACTAAATCAACTGGGAATAATTTTACACATATTAATAATTTTATTAAAAATATAAGAGCTCAAATGTGATTGGTTGTCAAAAAAAATAATAACTTTTAACCATCCAATGATATTTGGACATGTACGTTTTTAATGTGATTGTTAGTAAGAGTTTAAGTGGATATAACATTGCTCATCAGCTAGAGTGAAAGATCAATCAACTTGTTAAGATCAAAAAAGGATACCATTAGAAAATAAAACTCATTTTTCAGGACGTGATTTTAAATAACAATATATATATATATTGTATTGGAAACATAATTATATATTAATTAATATAAAATAATATCTACCAATTTATTGATAAATATTAATATTAAAAAATTAAAAATTTGATATATACCGATGGGTGTTTAAAACAAGTTTGAGAGGCATGGAGAGCTGCTGCCGCTATTTTCCTTCGGGAAAAACAATACAAATAAATATATTGTGGATCTAGGGTTTTTAATCAAACCTTAGTTGTTTCCAAATTAGATTAGGTCTCCACAAAATTAAATATAATATATAAAAATATATTATACCTAAACCAAACCAAATTAAAATTCTTTTAATAAACCAATTGGGTCCCACACTCCAATAAGAAGGTATATCCCAACACAAAACGAGTTTGAGAGGCATGGAGAGACATTGAGAATATAGTCATTGGTTAAAAGAAAGTAGTCCATCATTGGAGTCATATGACAACTTCTCTACCTTGTTTATGCAGCTTAACCAGACCATCTTACAAGCCAAAGCTTCAAAAATGTCTCCAAGTGAGATCCCAAAGCTTCAATGATGAAGGTACTTCTCTTTTCAATCCTTTGAAAATAGCATATATATATACACACACTTTATTGTATGTTTGAGTGAATATATGATGAGCTTGATGTACAAAAATGATGATAAAGGACAAGAAATAGGATGAATTCAATTTGCTTTATGTTTCCATCTTCACTTTGGTTGCCCCAAAAAATCCAAGCTTTAACTTCTTTTTCTACAATTTCTTATAAATTAATCAGAATACAGGCCGAATGATTTACAAATAAAATCTTCATACAAAAAATTCTACCATAATGAATGAATCTTTTGATTTGGCATAAATGTATATATGTTATTTTTATTTTTATTTTTGTATTATTTTCTTTTTTATGATTCTTATTCAACACGTCGTACCTATATAGGTAAAGACTCTCATTATATTTTTATTTTATTCTATCCTCTTCTTCCTTTTTTCTGTTCTTTTCTCTTTTTGATATATTATTCTAACATAATATTAGAATTAAATCTTAAATGGTCTCTCATCGGTCAAGTATGCCTTAATCTATTCTCGTTTGTTTTATCTCTTTGTTACCTTCATATTAGATCAAGCCCATGTTCAGGCGAGTGTTAGAAGGTCATCCTAAATCGTTTCTCTAAACTGCCCAAACTTGATTCCCAATGATGACCAATTAGTGTTGAATTGAATGCCTTCAATTAATAATTATAAGGACATAAATCTGTCACATAATTTTGTATTTTGGTATAATTTATTTGTTTGTATATCATAGGCTTGTTTATTTGTTGTAAGGAACAATTATGCAAAATTATTCACTAGAATGGTATAGTAATGGTAATTTTAAAAATATGAACCATTATAATGCGATCTTTTGTTTTAAAGTGATGTAGTCAAATTTACTACGCCATTTTGTTTTGAATTTTTGTACATTCATACATTATATGATTTAAGTAATGTTTAGTTTACTTTAATGAAAATAGATTATTGGAATAAAGTAATAATTCATTGATCTCTTTATAAAATGATAATTTCCTTACAATGATAAAATTGCAATGCACTTTTCATCATTTTTTCAATAAAACCAAACATGAGAATTTTGATAATACAATTATTCAATTCTATGTTATTTTAATGAATCAAACATAACAATAACATTTTCTTTGAATTTCAGGAAATGCAGAAAATGTAGTGGATGGAAACATGAGAGCTCTAAGAGAGAGAATAAGAGATGTGAGGAAGAAAGAGAGGTTGGACATGTGTTGGAGGGTTGAGAATGAGAATGGGTGGAAGTACAAAGATGAGTATAATAACAAGCACAAGAGACTAAAAAGTCAATATGGCATGTTATCAGAGTCCATAATGCTACTTGGTTTAGTTAGTAGTGCATTTGGGCTTGCCTTTTTCACTGGCTCCATTTGCATTTTCCTTGTTTCCTTCATTGTTCATTTGTGCAACAAAGGTAGTTGAGCTAAACAAATAGAGTAATGCCATATATAAATGAATTTTTTAAAGATAAATTTTACTTTATTTCTTGTGATTTGGTTTGTATGGTTTAATTACTCTCTTATTATTTGGAAATAATCGCATAATTTTAGGTGATTTGTAGGCTAAAACACACTGTCAAGCATCCGTTCAAGTTAACAACAAATGTAAATACGTGTCAAGATATAAGGAGGTTGTGTGCTTATTTTCAAATATTAAGGGATAAATCGCACATAAAGTAAAATATAAAAAATTAAAGTGAATTTTGCTTCTAAAAATAATGACAAAAATGTATGTGATTTGTAAGGGATTTTAGTCTTTTCGCTTAAGCTTTTAATGGGTTTGACGATATATTTTAATTCACAAACCATATAAGAGTACTAAAATTATTTTCAAACGATAGAGTAAAACTGCACATGAGCTAAACTACTTGGCATAAAGTAAATTTTTTTTATTTACTAAATTTCTTATTAAAACAGTAGAACCTACATTAATAAATGTGTACAATTCATGTCTTTGTATTTCTGATAAGAAAATCATGTTTGAACTTCATTTATATATAACACTTTTCAAACAAATATGTAGATATACATTTTCACCTTTGCAAATTTTTGTTTCATCAGTATTGTACGTCTTTCTGGCTTTTTCTTTCCTAGACTAATTACACTAATAATCTCTATCCAAAGTATTTCATTTGTTACACTTTAGTTCTTATTATTTTAATTTTATTAATTTAGTCCTCAAATTTCAAAATGTGAGTTTAAACAAAAGCTAACGGATTTTTAAAATTTTACATGAAATCTTAATAAAATCAAAATGATAAAATACACATGGTCCAAACCATATCTACTCTCATTATCCAAACCATTTAACGTAAAACAAATTTATTTGAACCCAAAATATTTTTTGTAATTTTGAAATGTGAATAATATTTTTTAAACTATAAGTTTTACAATTGCCACCATTCCATCACTACCACAGCCAATTGCACCCCACTATCACCTCTGCCGCCACCGTTACTATCACTATCACCGTCATTATCAAGCCATCACTAGGGGTGAAAATTTGCGACACGATACGATAACACGACTCGAATTGTATATGAAATTAGTGAGTTAGAGTTAACCATTTCCTAACACGAACACGTATATGACACGATCTAATAACATGAATATTAAAACAGGTCAGATTAGTGTCAAATTTATATAATACGAAATTAACACGGATAACCCGTATGATGAAAAATTAGTTACACATTTAATATTCCACTAAATAATATCATGACATTTTTAATCTCTTACGTAATTACATCTAATTATTAAAAAGTACTTAAAATACAATTTAAAGTTTAATATAGGTTTTATTTTTGTTTTTAATTGAACTTAATGTATTTTTTTGTCTATTATTTGAATTAATCTAAAAAAAATATAATATTTATAAATTAAGAAAATTAAATTAAATTGAAATTAAATATTTTTTAAATATTTTCATTTAATAGAGATTAGTTTAATTAAATTTAACTTGTGAAGAAAATTTTAAATTTTTTTCATATATTTGTTATTTTTAGTTAATAGTGAAATTTTTTGGCATGACACACATCACATAATATGAACTAGACACAGACCGAAAATAACACGACACGATGACACGAAATAATAAACGAGTCAGATTAATATTAAAATAATTTTAACATGAATCCAAAATAACACGACACAATACAAACACAACGCAACACCCACCCGCAACCATCACCAATATACAACCATCTAATTTCAAGAGCACAATCAAACATAGAAAACATTTTTCACATTTTACATTGGAAACTGTTTTCTACCCAATTTAGTTAGCATGATGAGGAGACCCTGAAACCATTTGAAAGACTTTCTAAGACATTAGAATTCGATTTAGAAATTCTAATTGGCGGTAAATTTAAGATAAACCACTATTTTTTTTCTTGACAAGATATCGTAGTTGATTGTAAGAGTTCATTTGAAATGTAAGTTGATTTTTTGATTTTTTGACTATTTTAATTTGTAATTAAAAAGTCTCATTTAGGATAGATTTTTTGACTTTTTAAATTTTTATATGAGAAAAAATGAAATAATTATAAGTTTGATGTGATATTTTATTTTATTAAGCTAAAAAACTTATTTTATCTTTTTTTTTTTTACTATTTTAACCAAAAAAAACCATTGGCTTTTTTATGCCGAGCTCTAATAAAACTATCAACTATTGCACAATGTGATATGTTTAATCTCTTTTGTGGGTTCAAAATCCCAGAATCCAGTAGTCCAACTCCAAACGCGTGTAACTGATCTCCCGTAATTTTTGGGAAAATATTACCAAAATATCTCTCCTAGTTTTACTTCTAAAAATATGACAAATTAAGTGTGAAACTTTTAATTTATCACAAACAAAAACTCAACTATTTTATCATATCATTGTGAGACGTTTTTACGGTTTAACTTTTCTGCTAGTGAGTTCATGAGCAATCACATGATCAGTTATATCCCTATGTCAATTTCTTATTTCTCAATGTGGAAAAACAAATTGCACAAAGTAATTATGGCATGTTTGATTAGAAGGATTAGAGTATGGAATTGAGATTATTAATCCGCGGACTCAATTATCCTATGTTTGTTTTGATATTTTGTTTTAGGATTATCAATCCAATGGATAATTAATCCAACAAATTTGTAAGATTATTAGTAATGGGATAGGGGTGGGATTGTGAATACCACAATAATTTGATTGGATTATTAATACCTCACTATTAGTATTGTGGAATCAAACGTGGCCTTAGAGAAACCCCCAAAATAATGAAAACTTAGCTGCCCATTTATAACCTGTGTGTGCATGTTTGTTTGCTATAGCTAATTTGTGTTAGAGCATCTCCAATGCACTAGGCATATAATACTTGTTAGTTAAAATGCCTAATGTGATTCACTTTTTTCAATTCCAATGCACTAGGCATATGATTAGGCATTTTGCCTCAACTCATATTCACTAGCTACATGTAGCTAGCATTCAATGCTAGGCAAAATGTATTCAATCATTAGGATCATTTCCCTCCATCTTTGTTGTTGACGTGACATTCTATAAAATTAATAGTATTTAGATAAATAGCTAAAATAAAGAGCATGGTTGGAGTAAAAACATAAAACAGTCGATAGACAAAATAAAATATATAATTTATAGTAATATTTAGATAGGTAAAATGCCTACTACCGTTGGAGATGCTCTTATGCTAGAATAAAAACAAGAAAGTAAAATAAAGCATTCACATATGAATGCAAAGATACATGTGGGTTCTGTTTAACCTAAGTCCACAGCTAAAAATGGCAAGAGTTTCACTGCCAAAGGTGAACAAAATATAAAAAGCGGTTGTCTATTTGAAACAAGAGTTCTCTCTACTCACCTACTCCTAATCCTGTAAATAACATAGTAAATAATATATATATATATATATACACACACTAAAATATCCGAATTCAATAAGAACCGGGTCAGGCAAATCAGGTCAAGTAGATCACCTTTGAGTCAAATGCACAATCCGGGTAGAACAAAAGAAGATAACAGATTGAAAGGAGGTAGTACATTTTTAAACATGGAAACCATACAGCCAGTAATAAATTTTAATGAGAAGACAAGAAAAGCGGCTGATCTGCATTAATTTGACTTTACAAAGGCAATACATACCTCACAAAGACTACATGCCGGCCAACTCAAAATGGTGCTTCGCCCCACCTTGATTTCTTTGGCCAACAAGGGATATAATAAAACAATAAAAACCCTCAAATCTAAATCTCAATATTTTTCATTTCCTGCTCTAGATATATTAGTTATATATATATATCACAACACTACTACTCTAGACTTCTCTCCCTGGAGTCGTGCTTCTTGATATTACATCAGCGTTGCTTCCATTCTTGCAACTGCTTCTAATTCTTAACGATAGCTTCGCAAACACTTCCTCCCTTTGGGGGCGGTTTGCATAGAGTAACCACAAAGCAAGACAAAGCATGAGACCTACCGAGATGAGGGCAAGTCCGGCATTTACTGTTCGGAGATGATGCTCTAGCAGAGGACAATAATCGGAGGTGATACTCCGAAAAGTGTCACGTACAAAATTGCAATCCTGGAGACTAAGTAATCGTGGGGCATAGAGCTGAAGAGCAATAGTTATGTTAACAGCTGCTACCAATTGGCCATACATGTTGGGGGTCAGACGCCCAACACTTGTGCATAGCCCAGATTCTGACACCGTGCAAGTGAAGTTCTGCCAAACCTGTAAACACACACAAGAGATCACAAGCTTATTTAGAGCTTTTTGCTTTTTTGGACAATCTTCACTATAAGACAATCAATTGTTTCTCCTTTATTTTAAACATTATTCTGAATCGGTAGATTTTTAATTTCAAATTAACATTAGGCTTGCATACCATGGAGATCTAAGATTTTGACAAGATATTGAATGAAACAAAAACTTCATCTCAAGACCCAATTTTTTTGTTTTTTTCTCCAGATATATCAAAATCAAAAAATAATAATAATAAAATAATTCCACAATCACCCAGTTTCCAATGCAGAGCTGGGATAACTCTATGCATTTGGACAGAATTTTTGGATGAGAGAGAGAGAGAGAAGTAAATTTGGAAATTCAACCCCACATTGAAAGAGAGGTGTGGGCACTAAATTAATAACCTCAAATCCATTATTTTATGATGCAAACCAAAATGAAAATGCAATACACAACATGGACAGATGGATGATACAAAAGATTAGCTATTAAGTAGGCTCAATGTCCCCTAAATGGACCAAATTATTGGTTGTAACTAAAAGATACTTTCAAGTTTTGATTGGTTCCAATTGAATTCTGACATTTTTATGTTACTGGACCAAACAATTTTTACAGATGGCCCAGTTGAAAAGGCCCAAAACAGTTGCAGTAGCATTGCTGGTCATAAGAGGCCTTAGTTTTGAACATTTGTCTAAGAAAAATAAAATATAAAATGATAGCAAAACACCACATACCAGAGAAGCATTTGCCATAGACACCTCATACGGAACAGCACACTGGCGGACTTGCAGCTGACTGTCATATGGATAACAAAGAGGTGGCATTGAAGGCCCAGATTGGTTGTAGTAATAAGGCAGATTGGCCTGAGGAGGCGGATTTGTGTCTGCAAAGGTGTATATGAATTGGTTGACAATATTTACAATTTCGTTAACGACTTGTCTACTCTGAATGAGCGTCTGGTTTGTGGTTCTCTGGTCAACACATGGAAGGATGTTGCTAAGAGCGGTCTCTGCATGGGAATTATCTACCCATTCTCCCATAGCCATACAGGTGTCAGAAATTGCACTGAAACACATATAATGAAGCCAAAATAAGAATCTAAACAGGTGTAAGATGTTTTCCAAGGCAAGTCATATAACCGTTTTGAGTTCACTATTATGACAATAAAAATTACACACACTACAAAACAATTATCTCAAGAAAACGGGAAAGCCTAGACCTGTAAAACTAAGCGTGCTTATGGCCAAATAAAAGAAACTACACACACTAATGGCCCATTGAGGTTAAGAAGAAGAAACAGCATCAATGGACATAGGCCTTAGGGGGCAGCTGCCTCCTCTCAAATTTTCTAAAATCTCTACTTTTACCTATCCTGATAATATTATTTTCTTAGTTGTCTCCTCTAAAATTTTGTAGTTACCCCCTAAATCTTTATAACATTTGTTTTCTTTCATTTTTTAAAAAAGTCGCTGCAATTTGTCCCTTTAATGTTTTGTTTGGATCTTGGATTCGCTAAGAAAAAAGTAAAGGAAAGAGAAAAGATAACAACAGAAAATGAAGTGAAAGGAGTTGATTTTCTTCCTCTTTCTTTTCTCTTTAGTTAGCAAAATGAGACAAAAAAAAATTCATACATATTTTTTCAAAGAACAAAATCCGTGTTTTTATTTAGTTACTTGTAAAAAATGATTATGTATTAGGTCTGTTTCTATAAATCAAATATGAGCTTTACTGTTAGGCCAAGCCGCCCTTCCGTTCCAACAAAATATTGTTATAACAAATTTGTTGGTTTTCTTAATTTCTAAGTTATTTAAAAATAGTTTTATTATGCTAAATTGGTATTTAGATTTTAATCACATATTTCATACCCCTTGACAAAAAACTTTAAAGGCACTTGCAGGTGTGGGAAATTTGGGAAAAGAAAAATGTGTCCCCCCCATTTTGTTTCGTTATTTATTTTTTATTTTTACTATAGTTGCTAACAAAGAAGGAAAACTTAAGTGCATATATAATATTCAATATCTTACTTGTTGAGTATTACAAAAACTCCACAAAGAATGAATGTGACTGCCACCAGTAACCATCCACTAACAACGAATCTGCATCAATTTGAAGGATGAATCAGATGTGGAACTATTGGAAAATATTCTGTAACTGAAACATTGTTTACTCATTAGAAGTGGAAGGGGAATGTACTAAATACAGAGAAATCTTACATGTGAATTGCATGTTTGTGCCCAAGGATGGATAGCACTGCAACAAAAAAATAAAATTTATAAGTGGATAACAGCGAAGAAGAGCCACATGCAAGAAATCGTCAATGTGATATTCCAATGATACATACCAAGACCAAGAAGAGAGAGAAGAAGCATCAACGCAGCAACAGTGATCAGTGCCGATCGCCTGCAATTAAGGTTTTTTTCCAGTCAACATTGTGAGGTCAATACAAATCTAAATTTGATGATAATATCAAGGTTGTGAACTCATACACTGTATTGAAGACTCTCTGTATTTTTTCAGAATTTTCACTTGTTTTCTGGCTCAGTGTATCTGCTGCAGAATTTAAATCTGCATTCAACTTGTCGATTTCATCTTTGTCATTTGAAGGAAGAAAAACCTGGGCCACATTAATGGTTTTTGCAAGTAATAGATACTCTGTGACATTTCTTAGTGTCTGCACAGTGTAGTCTGACTGGTTCACAACAAACTTCAGAGTATGCATTGCTTCACCATGAAATTCACCCTGTCCAACAGAAAGAAGTATACATCCAATCCTGGATGATGAAAGAGCAGGTTTGTTAGGAAGAGACCAAAAAGATAAGATGGAAAATAATCACAGGATAGAAGTTAAAAAAAAAATCTATTTGACTAGTGGAACACCAAGGAACAAAGGCACGGAAATAAGCAACAAAAGTTCAGCTAAAGAAAATAACAATTAAACTCCCAATTAGTGTGCAAATTCAAATTTTGATGGACATGCTATGTTAACAGTTTTATAAGTCCAGAGTTCCCAGTAGACTACCAGCAATTATATGTCTTGATGAAATTTAAAAAGAATGTTGAAGAAAATTTTGACCTGCCTTAATTAGATTTGAAGATGATTTAAAGAAATTGACATCTCAATCAATAATTTAAACAAGAAATATTTGTACAACATCTTATATAGATTCTTTAAAAATAAAAAGAACCAACCATGTAATTCCTTAATCATGTCATTTGCAAACATGATTCAGCTCAGCTTAACATGTTTTACTATTCTTTTCTAGCAGTACAAGCTGTACTGTGCAAAAAATGAGTAAAATACAAATGACGAATTATTCATGTCCCTATAAATAGTTGGGAAAAGGCTTTGTTAAGTGGAGTTGATTCATGATTGTAAGCACCACTCGTAATGGAAATACATCCAAGTAAAAACATGTTCCTAAATGACCAAAGATCCAAAAGATTCATTCAGGTACTCCAGTATTTACATGGATGTTTTAAAATGAGTAAAATACACAACTTGGAAACTTGCACTTTTTTAAAAATTACAATCCAATCCAGATTAAGGAATTAGATACTACTATTCATAAACAATTCAGCCGCAACATGCAAAACCTAGGCTTTGAGGATCACAGAACATCGGAAACCAAAACACACACCCCATCTCAATCTAGAGCTGCATGCAAGAAAGGGTTAGCCAAGAAAAAATTCTCCAGTAATGCTTGCTCCAGTTAACAGCAAAACAAACAATTATATGAATAATACCTAGCTCATCAGATTCTGATTAAGAGTAAATTATACAAAGTAAATTATTTTCTTGTTCACAGATTCTGATTCAAAAAGTTAATCAAGTGTTCAAAATTCTCCAAAAATATGTTTAAAAATTAACTTGTTCACAAACTACAGTCTCACTTGAAGGCACCTCATTAATGATTAAATATGCACAATAAGTAGATACCATGATTTTTTTTGTACAGCTGATATCCCATGCCTTCAAAAACCTTCTCTCTTTTTTTTCAAGTACTTAAGTTATCCAAAAAATGAATGAATGTGTAACAAACTTAGTACATTAACAAATCAAAGTCGTGGAAGTAAAATCCAAGTCTGAAATGGACATGAGTTTCATTTTCTAACAATATCTAAATATGTATATCATATTAGATGCATATAAAGTTCTCTGTACACAAGTGTGCACGCCAAGTGCGGCCACACAAACGAGGAGAGAAAGAGGGTACACTAACAACCTCAAAACCAGGGGACACACACATCAGAGTAGGTTTTCCTTAGCATAATAACAATTTCAGAAAATAGTCATTAAAAAAAAATGAGGAATGGGTAAAGCCAGAAACAAGGAAAGCATCAAAGTAGATAAAGGTCTGGTAATCAAGCTAGCTAGAAGTTTGGAGTTGAGATAATTACGCTGCAGCACATGTGAAAACAATAAGCAGGATCAGACATATCCTTTGTGGCAAGTGTGACCCTTCACTTTTGACCTTTATTCTCCATCCACAGCAATGATGTACAACAAGAGCCAAACCGAAAGAAACAAACCAAACCAAAGAAAGAATAAAACCAACAGCACCTGTAAATCCAACCGACTACAGATAAAACGGTCAGAACGATGTGCATAATAATTTTTATTTGCTGGTTCATAAAAAACAATGCATGAGTTGGATACCAATTAAACAAATTTGACGAGAGATAATTCACCAGCATTTGCATCTGTACAATTAAATTTATTGCAAGAACATAATTTTCTTGAAACATTACCGGAGCATTTTTTTAGACAAAAAGACCAATATTAATTGAAAACAGTGTCTTGACTTAAAATATTGTGTAAATTATTAAAATCAAAGTGATTATTAACCGCCTTGTCCAATACCACCATCCCTGAGTCTCCTTAATAATGCAGGATGAAGAACTTGAAGGTTCCTCGCCCTACTAACAACATCAAAATGGGAAAGTGTGCTTGTGTATGTGGGTATCATGTGCTTGTCTAGTTTCCACGTATCTATTCACAGGATTCCCCTATTGTGATCCACATGCATATCGGACATAAATGCCTCTTAAAGTCATTTCATTGATTTACCAGAAAACACACATGAACCAAAAGATCTTGTCCTTTTCTTTGGTCAAACAATGTTATGATAGATCTCGTCAAAGACAAAAATCTAGTGGGCACATTAAAAACAAGTGGAATCATAAACACAACCTAAAATTCATAAAATTCTATTTCAGCACCATGCTTTTTCCAAAAATGTTTTACATTTCTAATAATTGAATCACACTAAATATAGTCTTTATGCCAAACAAATACGGAAAATTTCTCGAATTCAATACAGAATTGATCTAGTATTATGTGTACATATCACAATTCATATACCACATGTAAACATCAATGCAAAATCATTACAGATGAAGAATCAAATTATGAAATAAAAAAGAGGAGAGAATAGAACTTTACAGTCCAGTAATGCTTATTGGCAATGTCCCATCCACCTCGATATCGCTTAAACCCGCGAAGAATGTCGGGTCTCTTGGTCCTATTCGCCGCCAACACAAGCGTGCTCGTTGGCACCTCGCTTTCAGGCCCTGGCGCTTGAGCTGCGGTGGAGCTCAATATTCCGTATTTCCATGGACCCAAATTCTCGTCTCCTACACAAACACAAAACCCCCAAAATCAAACCCCACTCAATTCCCACATTAACAAAAACACCAAACAATCGCCATTTGAAGATTATAAGACCAAAAAAATAGATAAAAAAGAAGAGTTTGAGGATTGAATTGTAATGAACCTAAGATGAACTTGAGAGGATCTTTGGGATGAGGAAACGAAGGAGGAGAGAGAGCTAAAATGGAGGTGAGAGAAGTAGATAGAGCAACCAAGAGAGCCAAGTGACCAGCGAATAAGATCTTCATCTCATCTGCTCTGGATTTACCAGCAAATCTCACTGAAGGAACCGCAAATGAAGGGATTCATCATGAGATTTAGCTCCTTCTAGAGAGAGAAAGTTATGTATACATATATATATATATAGAGAGAGAGAGAGAGAGAGAGAGAGTAGCAGATGAGATCCTACACTACAGTGTCGTTACCATCTCCCACTATGGTGAGTAAGGCATCACCCAGGCGTAGATATATATAAACTATATATACACATTTTAGAGAGAGAGGAGAGAAAGTCACATGGAAATGTGATGGGTCCGAAAAGGCGGGTGTGAATGAATGACCGACTGTGAAAGAATGAATGAATCAAGCAAAGCTGAACAAACACACCTCTGGCTCTTTTTTTCTCTGTCCTCTCTCTCTCTTCTCTCTCTCTCTCCACTTTTCTTTCACAATTAATTAATTATTAAAAGTTAATTACACTTAAATCACATTTACACTTTTGCCATAAAAAAAAACTTTCGACTCTTTTATTTTAATTACAATAATACTATATATATCAATTAGTGTAGTAATTGATGATATGATATAATTAATAGATTTTTAAAATTTATAATGGGTTGTTTTGGGAAGTTGGTGTGTGGAGGTTTTTTTATTTTTTTATTTTTTTTTTCATAAGCCCTAATTTGTAATTTTATGGCTGCGTTTTTTGCACTTGCCAAATGACTTTTCTGGCATTTTTGGCAGCCATGTTCCCAAAATGGCACAATGTGATTAATTAGTGGGATCAATCATGATATCATAACTAGTGTTGGTATATAAGTTAGTATACTAATTAGTGCATATAGTATCACCATGTTAATTATAACATTTTACGGAGAATTCGATTATATTCATCTCATATCATATGTACTTTTAGTTATATTATTTTTCAATAATAATTATTTTTTCTTTAATTGTGATATTATTTTTAGATTTTAGTTATGATATTTTTTTGTTTAGTTATAACTTTATTTTTAGTTATGATTTAAAAAAAAAAAAAGATTATAACATTTTTCTTCTATAGTTATAAGGTGTATATGGTACACACCATTTAAGGAGTGTGTACCGTAGTCCTTCTCAACATTTTAATTTCTTGCATTTTAAGTGAAGTTGTGATGTCATATTTTTATTTAAAAAATAATTCAAACACCTAATCTATCATCTCTAAAAATCACCCCTAATGATATATTTATGGGTAGAACAACACCCTTTAGTCCAGATTATCAATAAAAAGGAAACTCCTTTATTTATTTAATGTTAATAAAGTTGACATAATTTGCTGCCTAAGTGCCATTTTGGGAACATAGTAAAAAGTCACGTTTTTTGACAAAATATCCAAAAATGTGACTGTCAAAAACGCAACAAAATCCCTTTAAGAAGTGCCAAAAACGCAGTCCTAAAATTACAAATTAAGGCCTATGAAAAAAATAAAAAAATAAATCTCTTATGTTGGGTAAGGATATTTTAGTTATTTTAATTTGATTTGACACCATAAATAAATATTAAATTAAAAAGCAAAAAGTCAACTTTTTACCAACTTCTCAAATCACTTTCAAAAGAGTCAAAAAACTTAATAAAAAGTCAAAAGTCAGCTTTTTACCAACTCTCCAAAACAAGTCATACTCAAATTTTTCAAAATTTTCTTATTTTATTAGTATTTTTATACTTTTATTAAAATTTCACTTTAATTCTTATGTTTTTACTAAAATTTTGACTTTTGGCATTATAACTCTATTTAGGGGTATTTGGGATGATCTAAATAAATAATTTTTTATTATTTTTTAAGAAAAAAAATAAAATATGGGTTGAATTTGAAATAATATGATAGAAAGGTGTTGTGACTCAAATGAGATTATTGTAACCCAAACATAATAATATGCACATATCAAACACTCCTGAGGTTTGAATTTAATACATATCACCCCTTAAAGTTTGAAAAATTACACTAACCCCCCTGTCATTATAATTATTTAGACAGAATGAAAATATTGAACTCATGCACTCTCTCTTTTCTTGTTTTGTTTTACTTCTTTTACTCTCTTTTTTTTTTCCCTTTTATTTGCTTTATCTTTTTTTTTCAATGTAATTTTTTTTATTTTTTTATTAAGAGTTGTTACTTTTTATATAAACAAAGAGGTTTATAAAATGAGACTATTAACTACAGGAGTGAAAATGTAATTTTCAAAATATCAAGGGCTGAGATTTAATTAGATCAAATTTCAGGGCGCCAGTGTAATTTATCTATGAAATTTTAATCAATAGTAAAGATGCTAAGTTAATCGATCCATTAATTAATTAATAAATTAATTGTTAGATTGGTCTTTGCTAAAGCAGACCTGGACTTTTTAGTCCCCAATGACCAAAGGCTCGAAGTGATCTATGACTAGTACAAAAATGCCACTAATGTTGAGATATTTTTCCACTTCTACAGATAGGGCAAGAGTGTAATTCAGATGAAGTTAGAAGCCCTTTTCTGGGAATTCCAGGTGAATGAGAACAAAATCTAAAAGTATCTAACTTTGATTTATTTTTATAATAATAATAATAATTTTATATCTGATTAGTGGTCTTTATTCCTTAAAACGGTTGCTGTAGATGTGGTAGTAATCTGGTGTGTCGAGGTGTAGTTTGTCAGCACCATTCGGTCCAATCCGAGGAGTGGGACCCAGAAGAATCTAATGCTTCTCTTTCTTTCATTTTCTCTCGTTTGGTAATTTTGGTGGAACTGGGAGGAAAAGCATTTCCAATGAAAGGTATTTACAAATCTTTTCTGCTCTCTTTAACAGAATGGGACTCGTTTGGAAAACTATCACTTGTGGAAATTGGAATCTGAGGGTGATTGGTTGTCCACTTTCACTCTGTTTGGTGCATTTTATTTTATTAATTAATCGATTCTGGTGCAAGCCGTACAATTTGAATATTTTTTTTCAAAAAATCTTTTGGAAATAATCCTCACACTCTCAAAGTGATTATTGCCATCCATGTATATGTGGGGTCCACTTATATATATATATAGAATGAATAATGCTTGGAACTCCTTTTTGGGGATCACCCCCTCACCCCCCTTTGTCATGTGGCAGGGAGTGATTGGAGGAGCAGGAAAAAAAAGAAAAAGAAAAAGAAAAGGTAACCAATGAGAGAGAGAGGGGTTCAAAGAGGGTGGGAAAAAAGGGAGGATGAATCATTACTCATGTAGAATACACATTATAAATGGGTCAGATTTGTGAGAGTCTTATAGGAGCGTAGTCTCAATCATTACTCTCTTTTTTTTCCCTGATAATCATTGATTAAGAATTGTTAATTATGATTTGATTCCTGAATTAAGGTTTAAAAAACCGAACCATTCTTGAAAATTTTGTAAAATGAAAAAAATTGTCATGTACACTTTACATGACTTAAAAATTGAATTGAATTAAAAATAATAACTTGTCATCCTCAAAAATTTGTCACGTAAACTGCATATGACTATTTTCTATCTATAATTTAAATGAATGATAATTATTGTCTTTATTTGATAGAAAATGAAAATTTTAAAGACAAATATGTTTAAATTAAAATAAAAATAACCAAAGTGAAACTCAATTGAAACTATAAGAATCACTCGTAAATTTACCATAATTATAATATTTTTACACTTCTTATTTTTACAAACAAGTTGCATTTATGTAATATTTAGTATATAAGACAGAGAATTTAATGTGTCATTACACATTTTATAAATGCTAGTTAGAAAGTATTACTAAATTTTTAAGCATGTTTATCAATTTTTGGAATACTTTATAGGTAGAAATATATATTTTTTAATTAAATTCAATTTTTGAATCTAAAATTGTAAAACAAAATCAAAACTAACCTGTTGTTTGCGGTTTAGTTATGGTTTGGTTTCAAACCACATAGATCGGTTTGGAATTTGATTCACTTTAAAAACCAAATCAAACTAAATTGGTAAATGACACTCTCAACAGTTAAAGTTTTCTAAAAAATGCACTAGCAAACTAAATTGGTAAATGACACTCTCAACAGTTAAAGTTTTCTAAAAAATGCACTAGAGATTCCAAACTTTTTAAAATTTTTGTTTTTTTGTTTTTTTAGAACCTGAATTTATCCAATTATTTTTGTAGAAAATTATTGTTATAAATATACAAGGCCTTGATCGGCAATAAGTTGATTTAGCTAAAATTTTATTAAAAATAAAAATATATATATATTAAAAAATCAAATATTCTTTTCGCATTGATTTTTTAGACTTTTTCATAAAAAAATTTAACAAAATATTTTCAAATTAAAAAAATCGCTTCCCACACAAACCCAGGGGTGTAAATCCAGCTTGGCCTGACCCACTAGGGCCCGGCTTCGAGCCGACCAATGGTTCAGGAAATTAGACCCAAGCCCAGGGGGTATTTGGGCCTTGGGCAGGCCTCGAGCGGGGGCCGGTAGGCCTGGGCCTGGGCTTAGGCTCGAGTTCAGGCTCGGGCAAGGCTTGAACATTTTTTTTTTTCTCCCATTTTTTTCACCAAAATTTTATTTTTTCTACCAAAAATGACACTGGGCCTTGAGCAGGTCGATAGGTCGGGTTTCAAAATGATGGTCCAAACCCACGATCCTGAGCTAGGCTCGGGCCTGGGCCTAATCAGGTCGGACCCACCCTGAGCCATAGGCAAGTTTCAGGCCACGAGCCATTTTTACACTCATAGACAAACCTTAAGTTTTAGATTCATAGATATGCACATTAATAATGGGACATGTTAAGGTGTGTACCTTATACAATTTTGATATATGTGAAATTTATTATCACAAAGTGTCATATTTTAATCATTTTACGTCATAACTATATGTATATATATGTGTGTGTGTGTGTGTGTGTAGGGGGAGAGGGGGACATAATTTTGAGTTGTCCACATGGCCTAAGTTGTCACAACCCAACTCGCCCCTATAGGTTTAGCGTCGTAATCGGCTAGTAATCCTTGGATTACCAAATGTCTCTTAACATAATAATGCACAAGGGGCTGCGGAAGCAAATACATAAAATATATATAGTCTATCGAGCTGTGAAAACATACATGAGATTGATAATCTTAAACTTTTATAAACATATGAGTGACGTCAAAAGATACAGTATTTACATGTCACTTCATGTACATAAAAACAGAGAAACTTGTTCATAGAGCAAAAGAAACAAAGTCTTAGATATTCATAACAACACAGCCACTGGACTTGACTTAATTCGGAACCTCCTCAGGAGGCACAAAGGTTGGCTGACAAAAACTGAGACGCTAGGTCCTCAACTCTG